AATTTGTGAAGTCAAAAAAAAAAAACCAATTATAAATTTGTGCTTCTATAAGGAAGAACAGCCCATGTATTAAAAAAATTCAATAAAAAGAAACATACATCAAAAAAGAAAATCAAGTTTTTTGTTTTTAAAAATTATACCTACTACCTCTCAATTTATTTTGTATTTATTTCACTATTTTTACAAACGCATATATATACTTAGACACTTATCAAAATAAAAATAAGTTTTCAAAAACTCTGTTTTTCTTTTTGTTTTTTAAAATTTAAATCTTTAGTTGTTTATAAGTTAATTTTTTTAAAAATAAAATAGTAATTAAACCAATCCTCAATTTTTAATTTTAAAAAAAAGTGATTAAACGAAAAAATTCTCAAGGATGAGCCACGAGGCAAGGTCGTCCCATGGCACCTGTCCCATCCCTTTTCGAAAAAGATTTTGGAGATTGATACAACACAAGAAATGCATTATAAAAAAGTTAATTATTGAACTAAACAATGAATTTTAAAAAAAATATATATTTCTAATCTATTCGTTGACTCAGGGAGTTTGAACTTCCCTCTTACGTTATTAGAATAAATATCAATTATCGTTAAATTATATTAATATTAAAAAAAATTAACAATCGTTCATATATGAGAAAAGGAAAGTAAAAAAAACTTGGCATCTATTTTCCAAAATCCTTTTTTTTTGGTTATTTGAAGGTTTTCAAGTAAATATAAATTTAAATATTTTTATGCATATAAATAATTGGTGTCTAAAACTTTACCAATTTATAATTTGTTTTCTTAAATTTTTGAAATCCTTGTTAGGTTATCTTTACTATTTCTTTTTTTCAATCATCAAATTTCAAATTTACTCGCAATCACAAAGACTTAAATTATTTTTTAGTATAACATAGGGTAAGAGATCAAATTGATTAGAGATATATACCAATTACCGTTCACTTTGACAAAAGACTTAAATTATCTAGTCTATTGAAGATTATTTTTACAATATTATACTCTTCTCGTGTCTCTAAATTATCAATTCTCATGTCAAGAAATTAATATAAAGTTTGAAAGATAAAAAATTCAAGACTCACCCTTTAAACCATAACTTATTTTTAGGTTAAAAAAAATGAGACATGACACAAACAGTAGAGAAATTAATTTGAAATGGTCTAATTGGAAAAGAATAATTTAATTTAATTAAAAAAAAAAGTTGAGATAAAAATGTGTTAAAGAATTCAAGGAAATTAAAAGATTTGGGGGGGAATTGGTACCTGGCGATGGCAGGGGGATCCCAAGCGGAGGGGACGGCGGAGCGGACGGCGTCGGAGAGGCGGAGCGGATAGCGATCAATGTGAGCGTTGAAGAGGCTGATGAAGTAGCCGTCGAGGCCTAGGTATTTTGTATTCACCGCATCGCTCGCCCAGCACCCGCTCTGAAATCCGAACATCGCATTGAACGATCCCGACGGAATCTTCCCCGGAATCGAGCACTTCCGGTTGAAAAGCTCCGACATCTGCAACCGCCATTGATTCCGAGACGAATCGAATTTCAGATCTCTCACAGAAGAGCCAAAATCGGAAAATCGAGTTGAAAGGCTAGGTTTACCTGATTGAAATTGAGGATATCGGATTGGTACCGAGTTCGATCTCCTCTGTCGCATTTAATGTCGACGGAGACGTCTTTAACTGCGCGGAAACCAGGTACGATCAAATCTCTTCTCTGCGATTCGTTGAGCAGGACGAGTCTGTGTTCGCCTTTGCAGTACTTGAGCCTGAAATCTGAAGTGAAATCGAATCCTTTTCCGAGGCTGCTGAGAGCCTTCTCCAATATTCCGTCGTCTCCCATGGAAAGTTACAGAGCGAGTAATGGAAGGCTTGAGCGTTGGTTTTGAGAATGATGAGAAAATTTTGGTGTTTAGGAAGTTTCTTCCACTTAGGCTGCAATATTCTTTTTATTGATATCACAATTGCGAAGTTTGCACTTGTTAGTTGGACAGGGTCACGTCTCCATTATCTAATCTCTAATTGCACAATTTATTTGCTAAGTCAATCAAGCAACTTCGAATTTTATTCGTGTTTTATATTACCATTTCCATTCAAATTAAATCATTATTTGTTTTTCATAGCCGTTTTCTTTTAACTAAAAAACTGCTTAAATTACAAGTTTAGTCCCCCGACAATGTTGTATTTAATAAAAGCTGTCTAACAGATTTTTATATTTTCAATTTTGTGTTTTATAAGTTCTAGATTTTTAAAAGTGCTTTCAATTTTGTATATATTTGATATCTGGCTCATTTGACGTTTTGTCTTAAATTAACAATTTTAATAGATATAATATTGAATTTTGTATACAATACAGTGTTAAGTTTTTTACTTTGTGTCTAATGTGTTTGTGATTTTTAAAATATGTCTAATAACGAAATATTAGACACAAAAATGAAACTTCATGAATCTATTGGTTATATATAAAATTGAAAACTTAGAGAATTATTAGAAATTTTTTAAGTTTTAGGGGCGTATTAGATACCAAGTGGAAAGTTCAAATACTTATCATACAATTTTTAAATAAGTCCAGGGACTTATTAGATACAAAATGGAAAGTTTAGGGACTAAATTTGTAATTTAATATTTTGTGTCTTTTGTTGTATTGACCTAAATTGGTGAAGTGGTCAATAAGATAAATTAAGAAAGATGCATGATAAGATGAAAAATACATCCATATTTTATATATTTATTTTACATTTTATTAATTTATCATGTTTAAATATTTAAATTTAACTATAATTTATCATTTTGTGGCAGATCGAAGATATTCAAGAATAATAATTTAAAAGCGCAATTTTAGACGATAATGCGAACTTCACCAAATTGGGGAGAGCTAAACGGATAAGATACATACGGCTGGACGTTCTAATTTGAGAATTATGGATTTTTAAAATATTTGGTAAATAAAGAGATATAATCAAAGTAGGAATCCTTAATTGATTAGGAACTCTTTTATTTAATTTGTTTTGTTTTAAATAGGATCTTCCCAATTAGTTAGGAATTGCTTATTAGAGATAATTCCTGGTCGGAGCACCATTATTGGGAGATCCATCATTTCAGTTCCAACGAAAAGCTCTCTTTGGAGGCTAAGTTAGATAGATTTCTTATTTTCAAGTATTCTTTATTTCTTGTTCTTATTATTTATCAACAGTTTATATTAATTAAATTGACATGAATGATTGAAATAAACAGTAAAGAGTTGATTTATGTGTGTATATTTATGACTTTTCCATGTTTACATAGCTTGCATAACAGAATCTAGGGAAACAAACGGACAAAATTAATTAACTTGCAGCTATCTCAAATTAATTGATTTTGGTTTAGTCATTCTTAATGCTATTATTTGATTAATATGGAACGCTATCATGCCCAGTTGATTAATTAATAAGATTTTATTTTCATACTTGGTCTAAATTAATTAAATAATTAGGAGAATTAAAACTTATAACGATTGTTCCGAGTAAGTAGACTAAGTTCTTGAATCAAGAAATCATTTTTTGGATTGGAAGTTCGGTAAGACAAAACCCCAATTTTTTTTTATTTTGAGAAATTAATTTCATTGGTTCCTTTGGGATTCGACCTGGTCTCACTATTTCTACAAGTTAGATTTAGTAAAATCAGTAATTATTTTGGAGGGTCTCGACAACTCTTACCACTGCATGTGGTGGGTGTTAAAGATCCACATTGAAAAGAAAATGGACATAACAATGGTTTATAATAGAAATGAGCTACTCCTCTCATTGCCAATTGGTTTCAGATGAAACCCCATGAATATTAATATGGTATCAGAGCCCAAAACGCACAACCTTTCCAAAAATGGGATCCGACCAAGATCGATGAGCCAAAAGAGCCACGATCTTGAGGGTGCATGTATGGTTCTGAGATGGAACCCTATGAATATTGATGTTTTTGTTTTTTAGGATATGTGTTTGGTAGTAGATTTAGAAATTGAATCTCAATTACAAAGAAAGGTTCAAGGTGTTCCAGTAATATATTTGCAAACAAACTATAGTTAACTAAATATTTAGTTTAATTTAAAATAATATTGATTAATTTATTAACATATTTGTTACCAATTTTGTAGCATTATTATTTTACAATATTATATAATTTATAGTATTTTATATTTTATATTTTTAAATTTTAACAAAAATAAAATTGCGTAGTTTATCAAACTATGATAAATATTTAAAGATTTGTTGTAATTTAGGGAAAAAAAGTCACGAATTTAGTCCTTTTTTTTTTCCTTTTACAATATTATATTACACTTAATAAAGAGAGAAACATTTAACTTGTGACCAAGTAAATTGGGTTTAACTTGTGACAACGTAAATTAGGAAGATACTAATATATTTGACAATTTGAGCATTGTTCTTATATAATTTGAGCTTGACTGGCATATCTCATGTCAAAGATTCGAATCTACACTATACCCCATTAAATTTAAATGTCATCTTCTTTTTAAGAGTGAATACAACGGTTATAAAAGAAAAGTATATTTTTTCCCATGATCAATATCAAAATTTTCCTCTTTTTTATTTTTCATTATTTTGCTTTATGCATAACAATGAACGATAAAATTGTTAACATGAACATAGCTCAACGATAATTGTCATATATTGTTCTCTCAAAATTGGAGGTTCGATCTCTCGTATCTTCGTATTATTGTATACTAAAAAAATAGTGAATGATAAAATTGCAAATTTAATACACTAGGATAATCTCGAAACCCAAAGTCACTGGACAAAAATGAAAAATCTAATATTTTTAGATACACTAAATTTAAGCCCATGGCCGAAGTGATGTTTCGCCATCTATGAGAATTCTAGTTACAAATGGGAAAAGGAAAATGAGTGGCTGATGAAAAGGGGATCATGGGAAGAAAATAGTCCTTTAGGGAAAAAAAAAATCTTTTTTGATTTCAAATGATTTGTAGCCTTAAACTGAAATCTCAAATTTTTTCTAACCTTACCCCATCCCTTTGCCATTGTTAGGAGGGCATCTAATTTAGGAGGGTAGAAATTTAGATGTGTGGAGCAAACATTCTGGATTCGACGTTACGAGGCACAAAAATATACATATAAAGATAATGAAAAAATATCAATTTTAAACCTGAACTTGACAATATGTATCAATTTGCACCCTATAAAATGTAATTTTTCAATTTCAATCCTAAACATAGAGATTGGAACAAGAAAGTACATAGAAAAGGGAATTAGTGGACCAAACTACATAATATTGATTATATAATATACTATATTTAATTTAACTAAAATTCAAGGGGCATGTGTGTCTCTTGGTCCCAACGTAGATTCGTACCTATATAGCAAGAGATTTTAGAAGTTTTGATAGTGTATAATGAATGAGTTTAGAAATCTAATTATGTTTAATTTTCTAGAGTTAGTAATTGATAGAAGATGAGTTATAACGATTTAACATGTAAGTTTTAAAAGCGTTTGAAATAAGAAAATATAATCCGTACAAATTTTTGAGCTCTAAACTATACAAATTCACCCCACGAGTCAAACGCCCCCATTTAACTATATTATCCAAATAATTTCAGTTCACCAAGGAAGTTTGACCACATAAATATCTCTTTATGTAATGTGAATGTGGAGGAGACAAATGTGAACTTTGTAGTAATTTGTCAAATTTAAGCCCAAAAAAGAATCAAATGTGTGAAAGATTAGAAGCAAACAATAACATAAAGTAACATAAAGGAAACTTGATATTTCCGTGTTGTGTTTGTCTATACATACACACATATTACATGTATATGTGGTCAAGAAAACGTCCTTTTTGGTATGAAAAATAATTTTAACTAATTTAATAAATCATATAGTCCCACTCGTTTTAAAGATAATGACTATCGATTCAAAGTATATTCATCCTAGATTTGAATTTTTCTACTTCTATAATTATTTTTAAAAAAATGGTCTGAGTTAAACATAGTTAAATTGGTCAAAATATAAGTAACACTTCTTGAAGGTCTTATATTCAAATTCCCGAACGGTAATTTTCATCGAGAGAGAAACTCTGAGCGTAATTCTCATTTTCCTATTTCTGGAGCATTATTCTATAATTTGATTATAGAATGAAACTAGGTTTGAAATACTTATTTTGCGTTGCTCTTCCAACAGTTGTATTTCTTTTTCGTCGCTTTGTGGTTAAGTTTTCTACTTCATTTTACAAAAATCTCACATAGCATTAGAAAAATAAATAGAAATTAACAACAAAAATCATAAAAACAAATTTTTTAAAGGAAGCTCAATTACTTGAAACAAAGAATAGAAAGTTATATCGTAATAAAACATTTGAAAGTGGTTAACATAATGTTAGTCCTATCGGTTAAGATATATATCACTGATTAAAATGTTGGAGATTTGAATTCTCACAATAGCGTAAACTTTGTGATCGAGTTATCTATTTGTATGGTTTGGAGTAACGGACAAAGTTAATCAATATATGTCAATTTTTTTTCAAGGAAAGAGCAGTGACAAATTAAGTCCATGGAAAAAAATAATAATAATGGGTACTAAGCAAACGTGTTCACACTTGCAAACCTGTTGTTTTCACATTTTGGTACATCAAAAGTAGGCCAAGGGACAAGTCTAGAAGACCCAGTCAAAGCTTTACTTGACCACAGAAATAGCTGCCTAATGAAATCACAATATATAATCCTTTTGACTAACAAGTACACTTCCAACTTTCTTTTAGTTTATGCCTAAATATTATGTCATACTTTTTTTTCTGTTTTTTTTTTTTAATTTAGTTCTAATGGTTTAAAATGTTTTAATGGGATTTTTTATATAAGGCTTATTTTTAAAATTATTTGTAAAATAACGCTCATTTGAAACATATTAAGTGTATAATGCCTTAATCGAAACTTATTAAAAAAATAATGCGTTTAAAACTTTTCCGCTACTACAGACAACCACCCCATTTTCAATATTTGGAGAGACGATTATAAGATGTGGTACCCTATTGACACCATATTTGATTTTTTTTTTCAAATCAAGATATGATATCTTTTGAAGAGACGATTATCGGATGTGCAGTCTCTCCGAGAGATGATTACAATGACGTTGATTTTTTTAAAAGAAAAATATTAAATAATAACACAAAATTTTCAAGATAGTCTTTTGTAGAGGGAATGTAACACATGTAACACCCTACCTAGGGGCACATGCGTCTGCCACAACGTTTGAACCTGTGAGACATCAAGAGTTTTTGGTATTAAGTTAAATTATCGAAATGTTCGTACTTGAGACCTTTAAACCAGTATGACCAAAAAACTACAAATCCTTGCCAACGAGTTGGGCCTTGAATAATCTTTTTGTAATACTCTAACCAAAAGTGAAATGAAAAAGTTACGAATGCATGTGAAAAGACAGGAAAAGATATAGAAAAGTGACTATTGTGTATGAAAAAAGTAAATGTAGACACTACTAAAAGAAAACAAGTTCTCACACAAGTCTTTACTCTTTGCCTACTCCAATAGGAAGTTTGTAACATGGAGTAAATATAGGAGAAATTTTAGGCGACTTCTCTTTTCTTATTACCAAATTTAAAAATAATGGTCAATTATATATTTTCTTTTCATTATGAAATAGAGTAGTTCACAAAGTATGATCCTGACAATACGTTGACAATCAACTCTTCTCCATTCCACGCACGATTTTAACTCGCATCAATTTTTTCAATACTTATTGCTTTTTTCACCATTACTTTTTCTCCACTTCTCTTACTCGAAATCGGTGTTGTATGGTCAAAAGAGACGATGCGTTGACTCATTTCGAATCGTAATTTTTAGTAAAGTTTCTTTTCGGTCTCATGTTTAAGAAGTAAAGATTACAATCCTCATTATCAAATGTATGCAAGTAACGAAAGTTGGATGACAAAAACCAATTAGGTGCCATAAACCTCTCAAAACTAATGAAATTTAGTTACATACCAATCTTCCCAACTTGATTCATTATTTGAATGCAAATTTAAGTTTGTCATCATTTGAAAAGATTCTTTCAGCGCATAAGATACATACAACACGTTTCATTAGATACTTTATTATACATATACATGTATATCTTGAAGATGTAAAATATTTTGACAATGAACAAGACTCAGGGTTGCACGGCCTTGGCCATGCCGAAGGCAGCTGCGGATGCGATGGCCCCAATGAGGGCGGTTTGGACGGCACTCGTGACAGGTTTATTACCGGTGAAGCAGCCCTTGGCATAGCCAAAAACCAAGAGGGCGAGCAAAGTTAAGGCAACAGATGCAAGCACAGCCTCTGAGGCATTAGAGAAGAACATGTAGGGAATTAAGGGCACTAAGCCTCCCAAGATGTAAGAAATGGCAATGGTTAGTGCACTTTGTATTGCTCTTTTTGGCTCTGGCCTTTCCAATCCTAGCTCAAACCTATTGTTCAAAGGTTGCTCTTAAATAAGGTCTATTTTGAGGAAACTTATAAAGTTTCTTGAACAAATATTTGTCCTATTTTATTTTATAAGATAATAAAGTTAGGGGAATAATGTGTGTAGGGCAGTACCTCATCATGAAATCAAGCCAAGCTTGAGGATTCTTCCTCAGAGCATTAACAACAGGCCCATATTCGTGTGCTTCTATTCCATACTGGGCCAGAATCTCACCCACTTCTGCAGCTTCTGTATTACAAAAACTCCACCACTATAATTATCGGCCGTTTGCAAATATAGCGAAAAAAAAACAAAAAAAAGTAGAAATCACTCTTCTTATTTTAAATATAGCAAAAATGGAGATTCGAAAAAATAGAAAAGTCAACAAGCTTGACGTTGATGTTGATAGAGAATGTGCAACGTAAGAAAAATAAAATGTAAATATTTAGTAAAATCAGGAATGTTTTGAGACATTTAATCAAATCATAAATACTAAATTAAAAAGTTTAAAACTAAATGCTCCGAATTGAACTAAGCAGAATCCGCATGGACTAAAATGATAGTTGAGTCATAATTTGTTTGCTCAAATTTTATCCTTTAAAAAAAAAAAAAAAGAAAAACTTGAGATATACATTAAGGGTCAAAATATAATTCTAGTCCTTGAAATTTTTGTCATTTCTAGTATTATCCCTAAAGGTTTAATGAATTTTATATTCAATTTCTACTCTGGGTGCTAAAAAAATGACATGACACCTTTTATTGTCCAATAACATCTACATGTATACTTTTTTTTAGTACAATTAGTAGGTGAATTCGAACAGACAGGGATTAAAAAGTTTTCAGTAGTCAAAAGAGAAATTAGAAGGTTAAATAAAATCTTACTAATTTTGGACACTTAAAACGTGATAAAATAACAAGAAAAAGGAATAGGTTATTTTTTCGTTCGAAGAAAAATCTAACAGCATGAACTTGATTTTTTTAAATTAAAAAAAAAAAAGATCATTGACGGGCCTCGGGCTTTTATCAGGCCCAACTGACTCGGCCCATTACATTTATTCATTATTGTTTGAACTGAAAATAAATAAATAAAATAAAATAAAAAATGAAGGCGAAAAAGGTAAACGATGGTAGAAGAATCCGGACCAGTATCGGGAACCAAGACGATTTCCTCTTCCTCTCTCCGCAGCTCCTTCTTGTACTGATCCGCCTCGCTTTTCGCCGCAAGGTATCTGATCAAAATTTCAACACAATAGATGAGTTTCCGTTCGATTTCTTGAGCAATTTCGTAAATCGACTGCCCTAGGAATCACTATTTCGTCGCCAATCGAGCAAAGGAACAAGAAGAACAGAGCTAGATGAAGTTTCGTAGAGATCCGTACCCGCCGAGTCCCATGGAGATGGCGCCGGCGGCGACCTCGGCGATTCCGGCGGTGAGAACGATAGAGGAGGAGGCATTGGCGCCGGACAAGCCCGCGGCAAGGGCGAAGGGAACGGTGAGGCCGTCGGAGACTCCGATGATAATGTCGCGGACGATCTCGCCGCCGGTGAAATGCTTCTCTCTGTGCTGCTGCTGGATTAGAAGACGCCGGTTTTGGTTCTCGGGATCTAGGTCAGCCATTTTCCTCTTTTTTCCTCTTCTTACTTTTCTATTTTGGATTGCAAATGAAAAATGAGAGCAATGATAAAATCAAAGTGGGAATTGGTAATGCTTTGAAGAACCTTATGCCTTTCGTTTTCTCGAATTCTTTATTCCCACTTTACGTCATTTCTTTCCTTTTCTTTTATATTTATCGAATTTAAAAATTTTTTGGCCAGTCCGGTCTGGTTGTTTTTCTGAAAATTAGTTTTCTTATTTATAACTCAGGTTTTAAATAAACTGTGTTTTTCAGAGGAAAAAGTATTTTATTAAGGGAAGAAACCGTGGAATAATTTTAAGAAATAATATATATTTTTTATTGCCGATCTGAATCCCATTACCGTTCAATTGATTGTAGCGGTTTTTCAAATTTTGACTTGCATAATTTTCCAATGATTTCTTTTGATATTTTCTACATTAACTGATTTATGTTTAATTATGAATTATTTTTTAACTTTAAAAAAATTATTACAATAAAAAAAAAAAGGATGGAGAGCAATAAAAACTAATAAATTTAACTAAATAGTCCTAATTTAACTGAGCACACTGGATTGCATATGCATAGCCAAATTGCTCTAGTTTTAATCCCACGTTAGAGAGAGCGCCAAAGGGATCTAGGAATAGAAGTTCTAGGAGAAATTATTAGAAGCGGCTGATAATGATAACGCGACCGATACTTTCAGAACTATTAGATACGCAATTATCCCATGTTATTTTTTTTTTTCTTTCGTGTATCTAACGGTTACGACAGTAGAGTCATATTGTGCCAACCACATTCAATAATTTCGCAAGTTCAATTCTACAAGCTAGCTAGGCATGGAAGGCCTTGGCAATAAGGTAAGCTGCAGCTGACGCAATGGCTCCGATTAAGGCGGTTTGTAGGGCGCTCATTAAGGGCCGATCCCCGGTGAAGTAGCCCTTGGCAAAGCCAAAGATTAGCAATGCTATTATGGTTACAATAACAGAAGCAACCACAGCTTCTCCAGCTGAAGGGATGACCATGTATGGCAATAAGGGCACCAAGCCTCCCATAATGTAGGACATGGCTATGGTTATTGCACTTAGCAATGCCCTCTTTGGGTCTGGCTTCTCCAGCCCCAATTCAAATCTGAACCCAAAAAACATTCATAATTAGTTAAAGTTATTATATTATAATGATACCCAAAAGAAAAATAATTAATTAAGAGAAATAAAGTTTAATTACTTCATCATGAAATCAACCCATGCTTGAGGGTTTCTTCTAAGAGCAGCAACAACAGGCCCATATTCATGGGGTTCAACCCCATATTGAGACAATATTTCTGCCACCTCAGCAGCCTCTGAAAAATATTCAACTAACTATTTATTAATCTAAAATTAATTAAGGAATTAATATTATTTATTAAAAAAAAGTAAAATACACTAG